ACTATACTACAAAGCCAGTGTAACCAAAACAGCCTGGTACTGGCACAGGAACAGGCATATAAACCAATGGATCAGAACAGAGACCCCAGAAATTGACCCACACCATTACAGTCAATTAACACACTGCGAACGGATCACAAGAATTCTCGCTTCATATTACACAGTGTTTTACAAAGTATCATACTTTAAAAAGATATTAGCTTGTAAGAACATGTAATAAATAACTTCAAAGTGTGCCTTTAAAATTTATGTAAAACATTTTTTGTACTCGTTCAATAGAAACTTATCTGGCCACTGGGTAAAGCTAGCAATAAAACTACTGGTCCGCAATGTGTTAATATTTGACAAAGGAGGCAAGAAATACAATGGAGTAGACAGTCTCTTCAACAAATGGTGCTGGGAAAACTAGACAGACACATGCAAAAAGATGAAACTAGACCACCAACTTATACTATATACAAGAATAAACTCAAAATGGATAAAAAACTTAAACGTAAGGTATCTATATATATACTAGAGGCCCAGTGCACAAAGTTCATGCACTCGGAGGGAGGAGCGTCCCTCAGCCCGGCCTGCACCCTCTCGCAGTCCAGGAGCCCTCGGGGGATGTCCAACTGACGGCTTAAACCTTCATCTCCAGCCGTGAGCCCGGCTTCTGGCTGAGTGGCGCTCCCCCTGTGGGGAGGCACTGACTACCAGGGGCTGCCCCCTGGTAGTCAGTGCGTATCATAGCAACCGGTCATTCTGCCATTCGGTCGATTTGCATATTAGCCTTTTATTATATAGGATAAGCCTAAGCAACTGTTAGGACTGACCGGAATGACCAGAATGACCGGTCGCTATGACATGCACTGACCACCAGGGGGCAGATGTTCAATGCAGGAGCTGCCCCCTGGTGGTCAGTGCGCTCCCACAGTAGGCGTGTTGCTCAGCCAGAAACCGGACTCACAGCTACCAAGTGCAGCTGTGGCAGCAGGAGTGGCAGGTGCAGCGGGGCCAGGATGAGCAGCAGCGGAGCTGTGCCCAGCCCTGGCTGGGGCTCCTCCCAGGCCGCCTGCCACTTCAGCACTGCTACATCCCTCAGGGGATGTCGGACTGCCGGGTTTCAGCCAGGCTGAGGGACCCCACCCATGCACAAATCCGTGCACCGGGCCTCTAGTGAAACTATAAAAATCTTAGAGGAAAGCATATGCAATAAAATCTCATACATCTCATGTAGCATTATTTTATGGATACATCTCCTAAGGCAAAGGAAATTAAAGAGAAAATTAAGAAATGGGACTACATCAAAATAAAAGGCTTCTCACAGCAAAAGAAACCACCATCAAAATGAAAATAGAGCCCACTGCATGGGAGAACATATTTGCTAATGATACATCTGATAAAGGGTTACTATCCAAAGTATATACAAATACACCTCAACAAAAGGAAGACAAACAATCCAATTTAAAAAATGGGCAGAAGACCTGAATAGACATTTCTCCAAAGAGGACATACAAATGGCCAAGAGACATATGAAAAAATGCTCAAAGTCACTAATCACCAGAGAAATGCAAATTAAAACCACAATGAGATACCACCTCACACCTGTCAGAATGGCTATCATTAAAAATCAACAAACGACAAGTGCTGATAAGGATGTGGAGAAAAGGGAACCCTAGTTCACTGCAGGAGGGAATGCAGACTGGTGCAGCCACAGTGGAAAACAGTGTGAAGTTTCCTCAAAAAATTAAAAATGGAACTTCCATTTGACCCAATGATCCCACTTCTGGTAATATATCCTAAAAATCTTAAAACTCCAATCAGAAGCAATGTATGCACCCCTGTTCATAGCAGCATTATTTACAATAGCTAAGATTTGGAAGCAGCCCACGTGCCCATCAGTAGACGAGTGTATAAAAGGGCTGTGGGACATTTACACAGGGAATACTATGCAGCTGTAAAAAAAGAGGGATCTTTGGGACAGCACGGATGGACCTGGAAAATATGCTAAGTGAAATAAGCCAGTCAGAGAAAGACACATATCACATGGTCTCACTTATTTGTGGAATCTAATGAGTAGAATGAATCGACCAACAAAATAAGACCTGAAGCAGGGAGGCATGGAGCAGACCGACCTACCTGGATGTGGGGTTGGGGGGCAAGAAGAGATAAACCAAGGAACTTACAGGCATAGCCCATTGGCACGGGCAATAGGGTAGTGAAGATCTGGGCGGGGGCGGGGGGGGGGAGCGGTTAGGGGCTGGGAGGATGGGGTAAAGGAGGGAAAAAGAGATATCTATAATACTAGCAACAATGAAGTTTATTAAAATAAATCAATCAATAAAGAGAAGCACGGGGGGGGGGGGGGAGCAAATTAACATCCCAATTTGATCAGCAATGATTTGAAAAGCCAAGAAAAGACGTGCTGCAGGGGAAATAAACCCCATTTGTAATGACAAAAAAGAAGGGGGAAATGCATGCCTTGGAAAGAGCAGTTTTGGAAAATAGATGTTTGGAGATGCTTCATTTGTTTTTGTTATAAAAGTACGGAACAGTTGCTCTGAAAGTTCCCATAGTTGCACATTTTGAAAACAGGGAATCAGAAATTTTTAACATAGTCTAATATTTTCCAAAAGAGGACTTGCACGCGTTTTGAATCTATTGTCTGAAACATTAAGGCACAACACCTTCCTACCAGGAAGTCCTGAATGCCACTGTAAAAGCAGACATTTACTGGCCATGTTTCTACTATACAACATTTTAAATAATCGAAGGATGGGGCAGAAATAGGAGTCCCAGGACGCAGTGACCTCAGCCAGCCTGAGGCCTGGGCAGCCACACAGGGCCCCTCTCGGAAATCCTCCCGCTACTTCCATGTTCTGTCGCCACCTCCAACTCCTTCAGGATTTTGACCCAGGGACTCCCCGTTTTCCTGGTGCCTTGGACTTGTTTGGTTCTGGGAGCTCAGTCAATGCAGTTCTTCCATTTGAATCTACATATTTTTCCAGGTACCTTTTCAGCGGTGACAATTACTGAAGTCAAGTGTCAAAACAAAACAACTGTGAATCGTATCATAATTGCTCAACTAAACTTGTCATAAATAACGACACCTATGATGACTTTTGTATATTTGTATATGTATAAATAGGTATACACAACCACAAATACTTAAAGAAAGCAAAATTATTTTGATCTTTGAGTCAATAAAATGAAAAGCATTTTCGTCCTCATTCTTTTTCTTTTCAATTTCTGTTTCTGCATGTTTTAAGGACACATAGTACATAATAAAGAAATACATGCATATAATTTATAAACAAACACACACGTATTGGCCCTGCATGTTCAACAACTTGTCATTTACACAAGTGCCCCGTCAAAGAGCTTCTAAAACTCTCAGTGGCCATCTTTCGCTTTGGGACACAAGCTCCAAAGTTACTCCCACGTCCCTGCTCCTCAGCCACACTTTCCAGGGATCGCGGTCAGTGTGACTGGCTGTGGGAGTCCGTACAGGGGCGTCGCGTTTCTGAGCCTGCGCCCCGACCCAGCTCCCCACCCCACCGGACCACCCCTCCCACCAAAAGGGAATTGTGAGGAGGGTGTGATCTCGTGGAGGGATGGGTCCCAGAGACAGAAGGTGTCACAGTGCCCGAGTGGTGTGGTGAGCGGACGAAATGTGAAGACGGGAGGAGGATAGACCCCCTCAGCATAATCACCGCCCACCTGGCATGGAGGAATCAAACGTGTTGTGCATGGGCGTCTCTTTAAAACTATGTAG